CTTGGGTACAGAGCGGCGCGGTGGCAGCGGCCCCGTCCTCCTCGGGCTCCAGTGGGACCGCTGCCAGGGGCTGCGGAAGGGGGGAAAGCGGGGGAATGGGGCCAAGAAGGCGGGTGAGGCCTTTGCTGCCCTGCCCGCCGTGAGCCTCGCACCAGCAGAGCGTGGAATGAGAGGGAAACGGCACGCACCCAGAGCGGAACGGGTTGCCCTCGCCAGTGCCAACCTGGTGAGGTTTTGCGGGCTGAATACATGCACTTGGTTCATAAGGATGTGCTTGTGCCGGTGTTGGTGCTGAGCTAACCTTGGAAAGGAGCAGTCTGGAGGACGTCAGAGCCTGTGCCCTCTGCCAGAACCCGAGTTGCCCTGGGGAAGGGGCTGTTCATTGTACCAAGAGTGTCTGTTGGTGATCCAAGAAGATAGTAATGAAAAACAAACCCCTGTAGGATTCTCTAATTCTGCATCCAGACACCCCTGCATGGTAGTCAGGTAGACAGATCTGTTGGTCTGAGGGAAAGCAGTGACGCTTCCAGTTACCTCTAGGACTCCAGCCAGCCTTCCCCGTTCCTGAGCTGCTCACTGTGCCCATTGCCGAGGTCCACACAAGGGAACACTTGCAAGATGTTCATACTTGCTTCCTAACCTCCCAGTTTGAAAGTCCAGCAAGAGGCTTGGGAGGATTGGCCAAGACAAAATGCCAGTTAGAAACTGATATGGGCCCATCACCAGGACACCCCCACCACCTCCTTGCAATCCCCAGACATGTATGCCTGACAGTCAGCTTCCAATCCAAACATGCCAAAATAATCTAATTTTATTCCTTTTCCCTTTCCTCATCCCTTCTTCCATGATTGGCTTAGCAGATCGCTTAAGTCCCCAGCTACCTCTGTACATAGGCACTGTGGAAAGATCTGGATGTGCCAGGGGTGGGTGGCAGCCCAGATAAACTGAAGTGAGGCTGCCGCAGCGCTGGCTGCTGAACAGTGGCTTTGATGTTATCAACTCCTCCTCTTGCCTGAGCCACACCGAAGGGCTCTCCTGTCTGAGCAAACCCAGCTGTTGTGGCTGAGGGATGCCCAGGGACCTTCAAGGAGGGAAGCTCATGCCTGCCCGGCCCCAGTGCGGTCACCAAGAGGGATGCTGAGTCTCGCATGGGCAACCCCACTGCAGCAGTGAAGATGTGAGCGAGTGGCAGCCATTGCCATAAGTCAAGGTTTCTACTGTCGTGACCAGCCCTGGCCTGAACCAGCACTGGCAGGAGCTGTGGCTGGGTTTGGCTACCACTAATCTCAGGATGGATCAGATCTGAAGCAATGACAAGAAGAATGTGCTGCCCTACCCCTACTGCCACTACAACCACAGTGACATATGGAAGACACCAAGCACTTCCCTGCCAGGCTTAGTGCAGGCAGCTAAGAGGCAAGTGACTGTCCCTGCTCCAAGGGTTGCCCCACCAGACCCTGCCACCAGCTCCTGGTGGCAACCAGGAGCTGAGCTTTCTGCAGCCACTGTCATTCACCGGCACCTCCCTTCACTTGGCCTCCCTGAGCTCTTGCCCTGTGAGCAGAACATCAAGGGCACCTCTGAGCCTTGGCGTACCTGGCTGCACCCTACAGTTACTTCCCAGCAGACACAAAGTGCCTCTGGCCAGCAGCCCTCGCTGTGACTCCCCCTTCACAGCACCAGGCCCTAGCAGGAGAGTTGTCCACACCCTGCACAGGGCTGGGGCTGTGGTGTTTTCCTGTGTGGCAGTTGTGGTGGCAACGTGCTTGCTCTCGCAGCGCCGCACCCAGCACGAGGCAAAGAGCTGGGCCATCTGCACACAGGCAGGGTAAAAAAAAATGATTGCAGTCATCCAGTGCCAGCATGGCACGGCCCAAATAAAAGGTTTGCAGATGCTGCTCAGGCAGGATTAGGCCTCCAACGTGCTAAGTCTCGGCTCTCAGCAAGCCTAATTGCTCCTGCAATAAGCCCTGGCTGGTCCTTCCCTGAACCATGCTCCCCACGGCCCCCCCGTCAAACATTTTTTTTTTTGCTGCAAAGCTTGTATTTGCCATGCATATGTTCCCCCCGCCGCCCAGCAGGGCCTGGCCAAGGAGAGGAGAGGAAAGGCAGGAAATCTGCAGATGCCACTTTTATCACTCTGCTCTTCCCAGCCAGCATCCCACCACTCTCCCCCTGCCCAGCACAGCCTGTGGCTGCCTGTGTGCAAGGAGCCAGGCCCAGCAGCAGAGGCAGGGACAGGTGACAGCATCCTTACATGGTCGCAAACCCCCTGAGCTGTATTAGGAAACTTTCCAAATTGGAATTACTCAGATTTTAATAAAACCTTTTGATAATTTTCCGTTATGTTTTGGCCAGCAGATGAAACTGGAGGTGTTCCAGGAGAGCTGTGGCAGCATGTGCATGGGCCAATTCAGCCCCGCCACGAAATGAGGACCCGTCGCGGCCAGGAGTTGGGCAGTTGGATGGCCACGGTGCCCTTGTACCTCACTGGGGGTGCTTGTGAAGTTGGGACCATGCAGCTTCTCTGTGTGCTTCCCTGGGAGGCAAAGGTGCCCCCAGCGATGCCTCCCGCCATGCGTTCACCTAGCCCAAGTGAGCAGCTGCTCCTTGTATTTAACCACAAGAGACATGGGGACACAGGGCCCAACTCTACACCCTCCAAAGCAGCAGGATCAGCAGGAGGAGAGCACTGCACAGACTCGAGAGGCAGAGCACCTTTCCTGCCATCAGGGCAGGAGACATTTCAGTGAAGAACCTCACACTTGAGCTCTATTGAGGATTTTCAACAACCCTTGGGAGAATGGAGCAAAAATGGGACGAGTGGCCCATTTCAGACCATCTCCTAACGCATCAGCTGTGGTTTGGCTCTTTGACTGGCACAAATCACTCACCTTCTGGCATGTGGAGGCCACTGGATGAGACCTCAGTTCTGGGGAGACACACAAGGGCTTTGCTTTGCCCTCTTCAAGCACTACACTGCCTCAGCAGAGCTCTCCAGCCCAGTTTAGGCACAAGTCTGCAGAGGATCTGCTCAAAGCTAGGAACTACGACAAGATGTGCCAATGGAAGGTACAAATTGCAATGCAGAGCATGAGAACCAAAGATACACCACAATTTTATTTATGGATGTGTAATAAATAAATGGTGGACAAAACAGGAAGAGCCACATTCAAAAATCCAGATCACTAAAGTGCTTTTAGACATAAATATAGGACGACCAAGAAACAGATCTGACATTAACACTTTTTACAGACAATTACAAAATATCTTCTTATGTCAATTCACAAAATCGTTTAGCTGCTCTGGGGTACTATGGCTTGGTTTTCAAAAAGGTCTGTTCTATTATGCATAGTATGGCAGATAACATTCAAGAGTGTACAAAATCATTGCATAAACAAAAATGTCTTTACCCCCTTCTCCCAAATATGAGTTAAGGAAGCTACACAGTGTAAATCCAGTGATAAGGCTGCATTGGCAGGCCAGATCCTCAGGAGGTACAAACCAGTGCATCTGTCAGGTTACACCAGCTTGAGGATGAACCCTACCATGTTTAAAAACCCTGCTGCTCCTCGAGATGGAAGGATGTTATGTTCAAAGCGGAGGGACTTGCCACGTGGGCACTGTGCAGGGGTGGAAGTGCTCAGAGAAGGTGTCTGTAAACTCCTGCACAGTCTTTGCACCCACACATTTGAGAAGGGAGCGACTCCCGTTGTGTTGCTGCTCTTTGTGCTCCTGGCTGGCCAGGGAAGTGCTCGCAGCCCAGAGGGGAAGGGTGGCTCTTCCCCAGCAACGGTCCACAATGCGTTCTCATCTTCACACTGCTCTTGGCCCTGCTGGGACACCTCTCCCACCCTCCACCCTGGCTCTGTTGAGAAGTGAACAGCTTGAAAGTGAGGGGGCAAGGGGATGTGTATGCCCAGTTTTAAAATGCCCTGAATTTAGATAAAAGTTCACTTATTTAAGAAAAAAAATACATATGAATAAATCAATAAATATTATTATCTCGCCAGGAAGCTGTGAGGTGTGGCCTCCTCCAGGGCAGCCCAAACTCAGTGGTCCCTGTCCTTCTGCTCCATGGGGGGGTCCCCGTTGATGCACTGCCTCAGTACGCCCCTCTTCTCGTGCTTGGCTGTCCTGGAGAGGTCGATGGCTGTGTCCTCCGAATCTTTTGCAGGGCCAAGCTTGTCAGAGCCCCTCTGGGTACTGGCCTGCTTCCCTTTGAGTTCCTCCTCCTCCTGCTCCACTCGCCAGCCATCTGCCAGCTTCTCTTGGCTCTCCGCCTTCCTGCTCACCTCCATGGACTTTTTGTGCATGCCTTGCAGAGGGGAGAGAGCAAAGCCAAGGGCACCGGTTGCTTATATCTGCCCAGGACTGCTCAGCATCACCTCCTGCCCTCCTGCTGCTTCCTTCAGCTCTCACTTCCATCCTGAGGAAAACTCACGCTAGCTACCAGCCTTCCCCGGCTCAGAGCCCTGCCAGCTGCTCTCTGAAGCCCAAAAGGATGGCTTGCAGCAGAATTGGTCTGTACCTCCCCTGCAGAAGGGAAGACTTACAGGGAGAGGGAGAGCTGTGATGGCCCATCCCAGCCTGGATTGCGAGTGCCACCTCAGTGTCGGACCGTGTATGAGCAGAGGGTAGCTCTGAGGTAGCATTATCTTCAGTTTGGGGGGGAGGGTGATGACTCCCTAGATGGCCTGCAACTCCCACACTAGCTGCTAGCACTAGAAAGCTGTACCCAACCATGTGCAGGCACCTGTCTGACACAGCAGTAAAAGGTTTTCCCTTTCCCAGCTGCTCTTTGCAAGGAGGGAGTGGAAAAGCCAGGGTGCTTGGCAGCTCTGTGTACAGCTCATGGCTGAGGCCCTGTTCTTTTCTGGGAAAAGGCAAGGACGGCCATATGAAAGCAGAAGGGCCATTTGCTCCACAGCTGCCCCCTGACCCCCCCAGCCCCCAGCTCCCACTTACCCAGCAGCCACGGGGCGCAGGATCCCACCAGCCCACTCTTGGCGGAGTTGATGATGGACTCGGGCAGAGGGATGGAGTGCCTCACCATGGCCCCGTAGAGGCCGTACTCAGCCATCACGCTGCTCCGGCCCCAGCACTTCTCCCTCTTCCGCCACTTGGCTCTTCGGTTCTGAAACCAAACCTTCAGGGGTAACAGCCAGGAGAGCACGGAGGGGTGGGATTGGGGAGGAGATGGTCCCCGTGGCCGGGCATCCAGGGCCCATTGGGCACGGGCAAGTGTGCATCCAGGGCAAAGGGGCAGCCGCGGTGGGTGCGTGGAGGGGTTTGGGTGTGCAAGTGCAGGGTGCGGACGTGCAGGTGGCAGTGGTAGGGTGGCCAGGGCAGTGCGTGGGGATGGGGTTGAGGGAGGGCACACACATGGGTGTCAGTGAGAGAGGGGAGGAATGGGGGGAGAGGGAGCACACATTACATGAGGCTGATCGTGGCACCAGTGGGTGATCCCAGCCAAAGTCACCCTACACTCTGCCTGCTCGCAGGGCCCCTCTGCTGCCCCCTCACAGAGCACCAACCTCTCCAGAAAAAGGGGTCCATAATACAGTGATGGATGATGACAGAGGGTGCTCAGGTCCCTCTCCCCAACCCCTTCCTGCATTCAAAGGCTCAAGGGGTGTAGGTACAACCCAGCTGCTGCCCAGACTACCACCCTGTTCTTAGGCCAATGAGCTGCTCCACAGTGGGGCAGGATCAGGCCCTAAAATTGCATGTGTCCCTCAAAGGGACAAGCTAGTGAGCAAGCTAGCGGGACACAGCTTGGCCCAGCAGCTCCTTCCTGAGTTGTGCCTCTGGAGGACAGAGCTGTGCTACTGGCTGGTGAGCAGCCGTCGGGGCCAGCTCGGTTCCCCTGGTTCTGCATTTCCA